AATTCTTTTATGTTGTCTCAAATGAACCTAAGCTGCTATGTTTAATTTTCTATAAAGTTCCTCTCCTTTGCTATCTTGTATTCATTTTTTTATTTCATTTGAGTTTAATTGTTTGGCAATACGTAGGATGCAGTGATTTAAACACTATAGGTTGATATTTGCTCCCATTATTTTGTAGATAATATGATATTTATTAGTGAATTTGTCAGTGTTAACAACACAAATTTCTTGATTGAACACTTGAACTAATGGCCTGTGTGATAGTACAAATAACTATTTTTTATTCTTATTAAATGTCGGCTATGGGGCCTTCCAAATTTCAGGTAAGTTTGCCTGATGTGGGAGAATCAACAGTTGGACTGATGAATTTGCTGTACTCAATAATGGAGGCTGATCTCCAATCTTACAATTTGTGGCAGGTTTGTTCTCAGAAGTTATGTGCATGAATGTTTACTGTGTTTGATAATTTGTCTTGATCAACTGCAGCTGTTTATTTATTTTGATAAATTATCTTAGTCAATATCCTTTGATAAATTACTTGCAGAAGGAAACACTGAATATGTTGTAGCAAATTTTAAAGGCATTAACCATTCGAAACATCATTTTCCACTCTATGGCATTTGGGTTGCTGACATCCTGAAAATTCTCCTTTGTACTATATGGAATTTCATGTCTCAATTTGATATGCTTATTATTTTTTTAAAATAAAAGGTAACCTCCTCAAACCTTAATAGGTCAACGCCGCAGAGATTGGACCTATGCTCCCTGCTAGTACTATATGCATCACTTTAATGATATGTGGGAAACTCATTGAATCACATAACTTTCCCTCTCAGAAAGGTGTAAACCTAGCTTCCCCTAAACTCAAAAGAGTTGAAGTTGGGTTGGGAACCGACATGCTCTATTTTGTTTAATTGTGTTTCAGTAAGTAATTAGAACTTTATTGTAGTAGTATGGCTGACAGATTTTGGTGTTCCACTGCATGATGGGTTTCTGTTAGTTGTTACTTATGCATCCCTGTTTTTCAACTGCATGCATGAGCTTCTGCTATAAATGCAGATTCTGTTCATTCACATCTATACATTTGTGCATTATCAGTAACCTTGTCTCTTAGACTCTTAATTTGTGTTATATTTATACTTATCATTTGTTTTACCTGATATTCAATTTTTCTTGTCTCTCTAAATTTGAAATTTGAATGATAAAATTAGTTTCTGTTATGCGATCACAGTTGGATGGTCGTCCCATGAGTGGTGATATTGGTCGAGGTGCAACAAGAGAGGCAATTGCTTTTGCTGCTCGGTTAGCCTCTAGGCAAGAGAAGCCTCATGGTATATGAACCTCAGTTTCACTAAACATATCTCTTACAATTTTGCATCATAAGATTAGTAGTCACAGATTGGGCTTTCAAGGTTTTTATCAGCTTGCTGGTGGCACGAATTCTCAAACTGTAGATAGTCTAAAGTCAATGGGGCTGTTCAAGGCGATGACAATTCCTGGTACGTTTCCTTTGCTATTGGCTGATGTTCGGAATCTTATTACCCATTTACTCATGATCAGCAATCATACACACCTTGGCGAACTCGATGATTAAACTTGAACCTACTTGTGTCTCTACAGTTGAACAGAGATCTTTTAGGGTAAATGTTTTATCTGGAGGCTTCTAATTAGCTTATGAAATAAACTGCCACCGATAGATTATGATTTTTTATACCTAAGTTTACCCGTTGAATATCGAAGATTATGGCCTCCACAATAAACCAATATTAGAAGCATTTCCGGAGGGAAAAAAATATAAAAGGGAAAAGGAAGGAGTGTATAGAACAATCAGATACTAGGCTGTGGGGACTATTAACTTTGTTTTGATGTATGGTACCATGTTTGATTCTAGATCTCTTATTCTTTGTATTGGCACTTGAAACCATTTAACTTTCCTGCCCTGCAAGCTTTCATTACCACTCTAGGATTTTCTGGAACACATTACACTGACTCTGTGCACTGCATTTTGATAGGCCACTTACGGGGCCAAGCTGCTGTTGCTACATCAGCCAGTTCTCAACAAGCCTTGATTGGTGGGATAGCTTATGGTGGCTATGCACGCAAGGTTTTATTTCTATTTGAAACTGCACAGCTAATTTCATTTCACAGACAAGTTGGTTTCTGATGAATATTATACATTCACCTATTTAATTTGGCTGACAACAGGAGTGTTCTGTCTTGTATAAAATGGACCAATGTTGATCCCTCTCTCTGTTTTTATCTTATCAAGAATTATTCAAACATAAAATTTCACATTAGTTTGTCCACATTTATGTGCTAATCCCCACCTTCCAGCATGAAATGAATTGGTGAGTTTATTTTTAGTTGGCTAGTGAGGATGTACAATAGCATGTTAGGCAAACCAAAACTTGCCGGAGGACATTATGAGATGCTAGGGATTAATAGTACCCCTATTTTTTCACATATACTTGATAGAATCCTTTTGTATCAAGTTTGTCCTTTTTCTGCTTCTTAGATCCCTAGTTTTCCTAACCTTCACTTTTCCTAATTTTCTTTTGCTGTTCGTGAATGCTAATTTGATGCAGATTGTGGGGCGCGTGTTGAGTAGAATGGTGACGAAGCATGGTCTTTTGCAAATTGAGGATCACCCAGAGTTTCTACTGAAGGCTCTTCGAGAAGCTCTGAAACTAGTTGGGCCAGTTAAATCCTACAATCTCGCTTCATAATCAGCTTAATGAGGTGTTTCTTGGTTTTAAGATAACAGCTCAGAAACTTCAACTTCTATGTTCATAACTTATAAAGCACAGGTTCAAGCTTCAAACTTTTATTAGCTTCATCCTATTCTAGTCCAACATATGGTGATTTTTCTTGTGTTGCACATATATAGCCTGACATAAACTGAGACATGCATACTGCACAATTCTTATTTCACCCATCAACACTCAATATACTACGTTGATCAACTGTAGATATCACTTTGGAGTGGGGATCAATGATCAGATTCTCTAGTTCTTGTTCCACTGATTCCACCAGTTCCGTAGGCATGTGTTGCACTGTAGGAGCATCTTAATAAAAGAGAATAGCATTTCAAGTGATTAGCCTCTGCACTCACATCTCTCGTGTTGATCAGCTTCAGAGAGGAGTATACTTTGGTAAGCAGACATGTATCCGTATTCAGTTTGTATTTGATGTTTGTATTCAAATATTTAGTATACCTGTATTCAGTTTGTATTTGATGTTTGTATTCAAATATTTAGTATACCTGTCGGATACTACCATGCTATATTTGAACTTTTATAATGTATCCCACACATTAAAGATGTACTAGAGATGTGAACAAGACTCAGTAAGTTAAAAAAAATTTAAGACATCAATATGTTTATTTGACTTAAAGATGTATTTTTGTCTAACTTGTCCGCTTTCTTAACTTGGAATATTTTGTATCTTTGACTTAACTACTTAAGTACATGTGTTTGACCATTATAGCCTTACAGAACCTTGTGCTATAGGATACATAACATTGATTGTCTGTCACACATATCTAACTTCATTATTATTATTTGCAATATATCTGCAGATTTTATATTTCATACCCGTATTTATATTGGTGCGATCTATGTTGTAACTCTAGTTCTGAAAGGATGAATCTAGGCATGTAGTAGTGCAGTACAATCTGACTCTTATTTTCTGTTAACGTGTGAACTTACCAGCTTTTTCGAAATGAATTGATTTAAGATTGATTATCCTGAGTTTTCATAATTCCTTGCATAACTGCTACAAGATTGACATGAACCCCATGCCATATAATCCAAATCCTAGATCCTTTATAAGATTGACATAATTCTTTTATTCAATTTAGGAACTAGTACAAGATACTCCACAATTCACCAATATAACAAAAGATCATACACACACTTCATCAATCAAATACCATCAATTAGTAACGATAGATCATACACTTCATCAATCAAATACCATCTATTAGAACCCTCCACCAGCACCACCACCTCCTCCAAACCCTCCACCGGCACCACCACCTCCACCAAGTCCACCTCCACCTCCACCAAAACCTCCTCCTGCACCACCACCAGCACCACCACCACCTCCAATACCTCCACCAGCTCCACCACCAGCTCCACCACCAGCACCCCCGCCAATTCCTCCACCAGCACCACCACCAGCACCCCCGCCAATTCCTCCACCAGCACCACCACCACCTCCTAATCCTCCACCACCACCAAGGCCTCCACCAGCTCCACCTCCACCGCCAATTCCACCACCACCCCCTAATCCTCCACCGGCACCACCTCCGGCGCCACCGCCAATGCCACTACCACCTCCAAGGAAGGTGTCCTTCTCCAAAAGTCTTCCATCTACAATCACTATGGCCAAAACCATCAACCCCAAAACCCCCAAACTTCTCAGAGAAAGCCCCATTTTGATCTCACTACTTGTTTGTGCTTAAACTTAGCAAGTATGTATTGCATTTATAGGCTGCATAGTTAATGCAAGTGGTTGCTGAACTTGCCAAATTCCTTCTTAATTCTGGTATTGACATGTGATCCGATAAAGGAAGGAGCGAGAAAGTCCTGATGCCTTGCTGTGATCAACAGTTGCTTTAATGCATGAGCAACTCTCAACCACCTCAATGCTCCCCTACAGTACATGCCTGAATTCAGGTACTATGCGCAACCTACGTAGCCTACATATATGAAGATCCACGTCATATGTGCAAAATGCAAGCTAACTTGCTGCCTAAAATCTGGCGTAAGAGCAAGATGTGCCGACAGTGAACTTGGTTACGGCTCATCTCAGATAAACTAATTTTGCATATGTTAAATTTTAAAGATAATAGACAGTCACTTTGTCAATTCCAGCTTTTCATTATTATCATGTTTTTGATTCATCCTGAATAAACTTGTACGTTACATCTCTAATGTTACAAATGAACAGCCTGCTGCATGTGCTGAGAGTGGAGATTAATCCTACGATATGCGATGTGCGGGTGCTTGATAGTATTCGAACCTCAATATGTAACTATTCGATGCGACGGAACTAAATCAAATGTGTAGACATCTAAACTATCATTTTGAATTATAAGCTCGATTTTGTAAGACTTGTACCCTACAGTGAGAATCTATTGAGTTTGGCACTTTGAATCAGTCAAAGCATGCAAGCTGTAAAAAGTTATTGCATAATAAATGATGCGCCGTAATTTTTAGTAATATTGATAGTGGCTAGATTTTTTGAATGGTTCTAAATGTACCTCACCCAGTGGACGCGGCCTCTCTCTTCATGTTATAAATATATTAACAGGTGATTCAACCACTCTCTGAAATTGAAGTTTATATGGACACATGCTCGTCTTCGAAAAACATAGATTTTTTTTTTAGAGAAAGGATGGATTATCACAAAGATAATCCAGACAGCTAAATTATCAAAAAAAGGTTGTTACAATAGAAAAATATACACCCCCAACCAAGAGTGCATATTAAAGTTTAAAGTCAAGATTACACAACAAAAGTATAACCCAGCACATCACTGAATAGTCCCAAAGGTCTATCCCACACAGAGAAGACCAAAACAAAAAACCAGCTACTAAGAGTTTCATAGCTAAACAAAGTTTTAAAACACAACCACCAGCCAACTTCAAAACAAAGCCAAAACCTGATTTGAGTGTAGATCATTCTAACTGGATCACCTCATCTCCCATAGCTCTGTTCTCTCTGTTATCTGCACCCACAGCAAGCAATCTATCTGCATTCCTTTTCCTTCTCCTTTCTTGCAATCTGATAGCTCGAGCAGAAATATTTTTAGAACCTAGCCAAAATGACGAAAATGTCATAATTTTGTTCAAAAGCTCAAGAGATCTTTTCCTTTTGTTAGAAAAGAGCCTATCATTTCGTTCCTGCCATACACACCAAATAAAAGAACAAATGAAGACATCTCTTCTCATTTTGCCGTCATCAATCTCTCCTGCTTTCAAATTGTGCCACATCTCTTTCAGAGAATTCCAACCAGAATCATCTTCAATCTTCAATTTGTATTGAATTGATCTCCATATAGAGCAAACAAACTCACACTTAATGAATAAATGTGTATGACTTTCTTCCAGCTTTGAACATAAACAACATATTTTTTCTAAATGTATTCCTTTTTTCTCCAGCACATCTTTTGTGTTTAAACCATGTCTGAAAGCCAACCAGACTAAGAATTTCACTTTCAAAGGAATAGGTAACTTCCATATATCTGCACAATCATACATCAGTCCTCCATCAATTAGAAAAAGGTAATATGAATGCACTGTGAAACCCCCTTTCGATTCCCATAACCAATTTCTTTTATCCTCTTTTTGCTCTAAACATATGGGATTAAGAAGATTCATTAAAGAAAGATACTGTGACACTAAAGTCCCAGTTAGTTGTCTTTTAAATTGTAAATCCCAACTCCAAACATCATTTTCTTTTTTCCTCATATTACTCACAGTAGCAAAAGGATAAGCTGTGTTAGCATATAAGGATGGATATATAGCTGCAAGAGTATGTGAATCTAACCATTTATCAAGCCAAAATAAAGTTTGATTTCCTTCTCCAACCTCCACTTGAGAACTGCATAGAAAGCTTTCCACATTAGTAAAAAAATTCCTCCAAAAATGAGATAAACAAACTCTTCTAGAGTAAAAGTACCCAGACCATTTTTTTCAAAGTATTTGTAAAAACTAATTTGTTTCCACAAATTAGGTTTTCCATCAAACCATTTCCAAATCCATTTTCCTAACAAAGCTTTATTCATTATTCTCAAATTGATAATCCTCAATCCACCATAGTGCTTAGGTTTACAAACCTCTTCCCATTTTACCAAATTAGTAAAACCTTTATGATCCAAAGATCCAGTCCATAGAAATCTTCTTCTCAATTTATCAATTTTCTCAATGATCCAAGAAGGGAATAAGAAGAAAGAAAGCCAAAAAAGTGGCATAGAGGAAAGGACAGAGTTAACTAAAACTAGTCTACCTCCTCTTGATAATGTCTTCCCTTTCCATAATGCTAATCTTCTTTCTATTTTCTCAATTAAAGGAGACCAATCATCTTTTTTTAATTTTCCAGGCATTAAATGCACACCTAGATAAGTAATAGGAAATTTTCCACATTTACAATTCAACATGGTGGCCAGATTCTGTTGCAAATCTTCATTATTCTCAAGAGCTATAAGAACACTCTTATTAAAATTTATTTTTAAACCTGAAGCAAGTTCAAAGCAATATAAAATCAGCTTCAAAACTGTTAATTGCTCTTTGTTATTCTTGCAAAAAATCAAGGTATCATCTGCATACTGTAAACAGAAAACCTTGTAATCCATATTAATTGGACCTAATCCTTCAATGAGTTGAGATTCAACTGCTAAAGATAACATTCTAGTAAATGTATCAGCAGCCAACACAAATAACAAAGGAGAAAGAGGGTCTCCTTGCCTAACACCTCTTTTGGACATAATCCATTTCCCAGGTTTGTCATTGATTTTGATAGCTGACATGCCCTTATATAAGCACATATTCACCCAATTAATCCATTTTTCACCAAATTTTTTAGCTCTCAACACTTCCAAAATGAAGTTCCAGTCTATCATATCATAAGCTTTTGCAAAGTCCAATTTAAGTAAAATACCTCCCTTTTTGTTATTCTGAAAACAGTCATCTATAATTTCTTGAGCTGCAACTACACCATCAAGTAAAAATCTGTTTTTAATAAAACCAGATTGCATTGGATCTATAAGCCACTCAAGCTTTGTATTCAGCCTATTGGTCAAGACCTTAGTAATAATCTTGTAAACCACATTTAAAAGACTAATAGGCCTGTAATCATTGACTGCACTAGCTTCATTTTTTTTTGAATAAGAACAGTATGGGCATAATTGATTCTATTAATTTCAAGTTTTCCTTCATAAAACTCCTCAAAAAGCCTCACAATGTCTAGTTTCACATTCTCCCAAAAGACATGGAAAAACAAAGCAGAAAACCCATCAGGACCAGGGGATTTATCTCCATTCATATCAAAAATAGCTTTATGGACTTCCTCTTCAGAAAAAGGAATTTCAATGTCATTAGGCCCCAAGTCAACTGTAGGGAATAAACAGTTCCAATCCAATTGGCATCTATTAGTCACATTTTGACCAAAAATCTGTTTATAATGACTTGAAAAATCTGTGCAATCCCATTTTCTGAAGTCACTTCAACATCATTATGAAAAACTGAGGAAATCAAATTGTTCCTCTTCCTTCCATTTGCAATTTTATGAAAATATGCTGTATTATTATCTCCTTCCTTAAGCCAGTGAGCTTTGGATCTTTGCTTCCACATTTGTTCTTCTTGGATAAGAATCTCATTTAATTGTAGAGAAATGTCATTTTTTCTAATCAACTCATCATCCTCTAAATCTCTATCTTCTTCAATAACTTCCAATTCTAAGAGATTATCCAACAATTATTTTTTTTTGTTTGACACTATAAAATTTTGAATGTACCCATTGTTTGATACATTTTCTCATAAATCTCAATTTACCAACAAAGTTTTTAGCAGCTGAATCATTCCTGGGAGCACACTTCCACCAAATTGGAACATTTTTTATAAAATCATCAGATTGCAGCCATATTTTTTCAAACCTGAACATTTTAACTTGCTGTTGATTATCTCCAAAATCAAAGCAAATAGGAGAATGATCTGATAATTGACTACTAAGGCCTTGTTGTCTTGATAAAGGAAAAACATCTTCCCACTCAGAGTTGAAAAAAACTCTGTCAAGTCTAGCCATAGCAGGTAAACTCCTCTTATTTGTCCAAGTAAATTTTCTTCCATGTAAAGGACTATCAATTAATTCCAAATCATTTATAACTTCCTTAAACTCTTCCATTTCTTTTCTATAATTTGTTCTTCCTTTTCTTTCTGCAGCATTAATGGTTACATTGAAGTCTCCCACCACAACCCAAGGACCTAAGAATGCATTTTTAATCTCTTTAAGCTCCTGCCAAAAAAGAGCTCTCTCTGTATTACAATGAGGCCCATATACAGAAGATATAGTCCATTCAAAACTATTTTTTTTATTTTGTAACTTCACTGTCAGGACAAACTTATCCAAAGCATCATCAATTTTCTTCCATTTATTATTATCCCATCCAATCATAATTCCACCAGAGGTCCCAATAGATGGTAAATATATCCAGTCAAACACATTACCACCCAAACTCTTTAACATGTTGTCAGTAAAACAACTAATTTTTGTCTCTTGCAAACAAATAATTTCAAATTTGTTCAATTGGCAGAAATCCTTAACTCCAAATCTTTTTGAGCTCAAACCCAGACCTCTAACATTCCATGTAACTAACATTTGAGAGCATCAAAACTCCACAAAACACCTTAGAGCCTACTCAGAGGTAGCTCTTTCTTGTTCCATCAGCCTCATTTTTTTTATAGGGTCAAAATCTCCCTGAGGCTCAAGTATAATAGCACATTTAGAAGCAATTTTTTGCAGCTGCTTATTAGAATAAGCATCAAAAAGAATAGGAACAAAATTAGATCCTAGAGAAGAGGAATTTTCACCTGAACCACTAAAAGAAGCCCCTGGAGTAGAATTTTTTATATTTTTCATTGCAGCTCTTGAAGTGGCCCTGTCCAAAGCAGTCATAGGTTCCATATCCACAAATCTTGAGCATCTTCTGACAAATGAGACTTTTGGATAGGTATCAGAATCTGTAGGTGGCAAAGCGTTTAAAGGCTGGATTATAGGAATGTCATCTTCCTTCTCTTGATTTTCTTCATTGTTATAGAGAACTGAAAGAGCCAGTCCCTTCTCAGCTTCAGTGATGATTTCTGTTTTTGATAGAATTTTTTTGCATTAGCCCATAATCTAGCAGCAGGAGAACTCCATGGATTTTCTCTCCAATCTTGTTTAACATTCCATGAATTAGACTCAGAGTCTTTCAAGGAAGAAGATCCAGATCCACTATCTCTTCTACCTTTAAACCACTTATCCTGATAAGAACTTTGATTGTTATCCTCCAATTGATCCACTTTCTGTTTTTTCTTTTTTTTCTCCTTCATCAATTTCCCCCATTATAGACATGATAGTGACCTCTATGTTGTACTGATTTTTTCCAACAAAAACATTTAAAATTTTAGGTATATCAATATACTCAAAACAACTGACCAGCATCACAGCATCTACAAATTCAGTACAGGCATTGGTAAGAGAATCCAGCTCAACCAGATCAGCAAAAGGTTTAACCATCTGAGCAAAAGATTCCTTACTCCATAAATGAGGAGGAACATTTTTTATTTTAATCCACACATAAGATTTCCTTTTTTCAATCACATTTCCTTCCCAGGCACTCCATCTTCTAAGTTTTATCTTACAAGATCTTAGAGTTATTATCCCCATTCTTATCAATTCATCCATCTGTTTCCACGGTTGTATTTTAACCAACACTTCTCCATTGGTAAAAAGCCTCACATCCCAATGCTTATTCATAGGAAAATAAGCTCTCAAATCTAACTCCAATCTTTCAAGAGATATATTACCACCTTCAACAAAAGAAACTATAGCAAAGTTTCTAAACTTCTGAAAACCAGAATTTATTTCTCCTTCAAAATTTAAGACAGCAGAAGAGAAACGAGGACGATCACCTGAGATTTTAACCTGAGATTTTAAGTTCAGCTTCCAGATCTCCAAAATCTCTCGGTCCTTGATCTTGAAACATTGAAACATTTTCATGAATTTTTTCTTCATCAATCGAGTCAATAACCGGAGGAAGATCTTGCTTATTTGACGAAGAAAAAGCAGTTCTCTCCCTACGCCATTGCCAAGGGTTAGGATGATCAAATCTTCCCCCTCGACTAGAATTCTGCCCAGATCTACCTCTAGTACCTCGACCTCCAAGATTACCAAGACCTCCAGCACTTCTACCCCAAAAAAACCACGACCTCCATTATTAGCTCCCCTTCCCCTATTTCCTCTACCTCTATTGTCAAATCTATCATTTCTTCTATCATTAAGCCTACAATTTCTCGCTTCATGACCCATTCCTTGACAATGAAAGCAAACAATCGGATCTCTACAGTCTTTCGCCATATGATTCGCTCCTCCACAACGGAAGCACAAACGCTTCCTTCGAATAAGATCTACAGAGAGAGAAGAGGAAGGAACAAGAGGTTTCTGGAGTAACGGCGATTTAGGTTTTCTTTTAACCACACTCATCCAATCTCCTTTATCAACATCAGCCTTTAATTCCTCTTGGGATCTCCGCGAAGGATCAATCCCCACCGCAAAATTTAACCCAACCTCATCAGATCTTAACCCAAGTTTATTAACTGTAGCATCATGAACCCTAGTTTCTTTGGGTTGAGAGGAAATGGGCTTAGGCTTGGAAACAAAAAAAGAATCAGAAATTAAAGCTGGAGCAGTTTCCCCCCAAATCTTTTGGGCCACAAAATTTGTTGTCTCAATTGGCCCAAAAAAATTTGCCGAATATTTCGAATTCTCCCCCAAAAACATTATATCAAACTCAAGAAAGAAGATCAAAAAAATCCGTCTTCTTTCCTCTTGATTCTAAACAAGATCAAAAACTCTCTCGATCACCGCGAACAAAGAAACCCTGCCCTTTGATGACCAAGATTGCAGTTGAAGATGACGAAGTTTTTTTTTTTTTTTAATCTCCGAAAAGAACAAACGAAAAGATCAAACAAACAAAAGGACAAAACCTAACCCTTGAAATCAGTGACTAACAAACAATTGATCCGAAAACGAAATCAATGATCACAATCGAACACAAAATTGAAATCGAAAGAAACCCTAACCTCCCCGAAGAAAAATCGCCTTTCCCCTCCTCGAGGATGATCATTATGAGAAGTCTTACAAATTGTTATGTGAATCAGTTACCAGTGTAAGCTTGGCTAAAAGAAAACAATGCTCTTGAATAGAAAAGACATCGGCATCGTAGGCTTTGGTCAATTGATATCCAACCAAATGTTAAATACTCAACCACGGCTACACAGAATAATGAAATACAAGTGCCAAAGGGTATAATTTTAGAATGAATTTTACCTGGTGGCGGCATATGCTGTTATTGCTCCTCAAGCAGGTTTAACTACAACAATATTACAAAACAACCCATGCCCTTATGATTTCAACAGGTTAGTAATGTTTTTACACTTACAGGAGTTGGCAATTATCCACAACCACCAAATACATCCACTTCGACGTATAAGACTACAACATGGGATCTTGCACTTCAAAAAATCCCACCAAAAAACCCCCTTCTTGACATTGATATACACAATATTACTTATTATTATCTTTTCTCTTCTTTGGCGAATGAAGTAACTTCGGTGTGAAAAATAATTCAGTCCAGAAAATGATTCGAATTTTTGAGCTTGGCTTTGCCAAGAAAATGGAGCACCGCAAATTGCTACAATTCTCGGGCATCTCAAGAATTAGTTGTGCATCTGAAGCGGGTCCAGAGTTAATTTTCCCATCTGAAGCATTGAGCAAGTACCAATCTTTTACTCCTCAGCATTTAGTTTTGTGGCATTTTGTGCTGTATTTCCATGAGCAGTACGTTGCATTTGAGACTGAACTACGTATTTCCTCTGCAAATCTTTGAACTGTTCGAGTAGCTCTTGGAATGATGGCCGGAGTTGTGGATCACTGGGTTTGGAACTTATTTGCATGAATTTTACATAAAATAGAAGATATAAAGGGTTTTTTTGGAAGGTAGTTAGGATTATACTGACCTATGCCAACAACTCTCAATGATTGAGACCCATTGTGGGTCCAAGTCTTTTGGGAGCTCCAATCTTTGGTTCATAAAACCTACAGCTCCAATTACCTGGATACATAAGGACCAACCTAACCATTTAAGTTTGTAGAAATATCATTGCTTTTCCAACTTAGATATATACAACTTTGATTATATACACAAATTCACAAGGCAGATATTTTCTAAAGATCAGGCGATCACAATGCCAAAGATGTCAAATATTTATGGGCATCTCACTTTAAAAAATCATAAATACTATGAAATAATAATATTTGTCTTTCCTTTTTCCTTTTAAGATTTTGAAGTGGTGAAATAAGCTATACTCAACCACATAATATATTAATCTGGAGTCTAAGTGAATGGAGGGAAACAAAGGAGTTAAAA